AACCCCAATTTTGCAATAAACAAGTATTTTGGGTACTAATAGATGAAGATGAATTTTTCTATATTGCAATTCAATTAAATAATAACTATATAGCTTTTCAAAATCATGTTTAAAGAACTTTATCTCTTGACAATGATTTCATTCACCAATTGCAACTATGGTGTCCTGCATTACATCCAGTTCAGATTGCAAGTCAATGTTACATCTCGGGCATATCATGTAAAAAAAAATAGATACACCTGGCATACACTAGAAAGCTTTAATGTTAAATGAAATGTTATGCAAAGTTTTTTTACATTGAAAATTGTCTATGCACATTTCATCATCAAAATAGTAAATCTATTGCAGAATAGAAAGACGTAACAAAGACACCAAATTTTGTTTGGTGTTATATGTGTCCTTGGAACAACTATCAATATAATATGCCAGGTTCTTCATATCTGCCATATATTAAATGGGGTATTTCTTGTATATTTTAGGTTTTCTTGTGTTACATGATGCTAAGAATAAAACTTATCAGTCACATTTCAGGATGTAATGATGGATGCTAAACTGCATCAAACAATATACCAAACCTCTGTTAAAATTGGTCATATTACTGCACAATATTTCGTTGGTGGTCAATCTTCAACTGTCATTTTATGGTAAAATATATCAAATATTCAATGACTTTTTTTTTTTGTTTATTCCCAATAAGTTCTGTAATTTCAAACAACATTTTCAATAGTTGGACTATATACCCCCCAGTATTCATCTAATGTCTGGTATGTAACATTGGACTTGTATCGTGGCCATTCCAGTATAAGGTCATCTTTTGCATCATAATAGTGCAGACGTACATTAAACAGCTAGAAACCAATCACCTCAAAAATGATGTTTTAAAACATGTAAACCAACGTAGTCGTAATAAGAGATAAATCACTTTTAGTCTCAATGGCCAGACGTAACATGACATGATTTACACAGGTGCTAAATGGTTTAATTTTTTAAAGCAGTTTCAGACGTTTTTTACTACATTTTCTGTTTGAATGTTACATTTAAGACACGAAATGTTACATCCAGGTGCTAATTTTTCAATATGTTATAAATGTAAATTGAGGAATATTTCTGATAAATACATTTCATAAATCTTTTCAATCTTTATCCATTAAACTGTTTCATGACATTAAAAGTCACATATGTCAACATTTCTGCTTGTGAAAACACCACCACTCAAAGACTTAAAATAGAAATTGTAATGCAATTATTTTGTAATATTACAAAATGTTTTGGTAGTTATATCCTTGTTTGAGGAACTTCCAATTGATATATTGATGTTTCAGTCAGCAAACAAGATTTGCAGTTATATTCAAAAGGAGCAAATGTAACATCTATTTTATGATGCTGAATTCCTCCTCTTATCAAAATGTGAAGTGAAAATGTCATGTTCTACTTAGTGTCACATTTTCTTTTGAGAAATGGAACATGACATGACATGAGGTTTCCATTGTATTTGCAGTCTTGTCTTTACGCTTTTTAATACTGAACACAAATAACAATTTAACAGTTGCAACAGTTTTTTTTCTGAATCAATTGTAAAATATCAATGGATATGATAGTAAAACAAATGATAGAAATAAAGACATCTTCTTGTTTAGGTTAAATTACAAAATACATGAGTTTCATGACGCAAACAGTGAAATTTATGAACACTTCTGGACATTTTCGATGAATTCACTTTTCAAAATTGTCATTAATTTTCAATCATTGGTCGACCAATATCTCTTTCTATACTGGTATCATTTGCCCCTTAACACAGTCATGGTACAACCCTTCTGCTGAAATCAAACCAAAGAATAATACATTTAATGTTGTACCTGTATTGGTGTTCAGATCAATTAACTTTGTCAAGTATTGTATTAGTTGATAAAGCCATTATTATGATTTATTGATCACAGAGTCAATTATCAATTTTCATGGGAATATTAATTGTGTATGTATGGGATTTTCAGGAAGGAAGAGGTATTATGTGTGATGATGAATATGAAAGTTGCAGGCATTATACCTTCCAGCAGTCTTCCTTTGAGTGATTAAAACCCATGTTGGGTTCTTGTATACTCGCCTGTTAGTGGTGCATGTCTTTTTCAATATTTGGTTGAATGTAATTGAGATACTTTTAACATTTCTGCCATATTCAGTCATGTTGTCATTGTGGCAGTCATTCCTCCCAATTATACCATGTAGAGGCATGTGGATCAATCAGATCAATGGGATCAGTGACCTACACACTTGATGTCTTAGGGTGATGTCTTCAAGCAGGAGATCTTACTCCAGCCTGCATAATTCTAGATTTACTTGACTTATTGTAATCTGTAAAGAAGTTATGTATTTCACATGAAATGCACAGCATTGCTCGTATACTTTTAATGTTTACAATTTTTTTTTCTACAGTTCTGATTTATAAAATATCACTATAAGGCATAAGCTATTCTAGTACAGTATGCGTTGGGAGAGACACCTAATCACTAAATGTTTAATCATTTTGTTTGCTTTCAATTTATCCAAGCCTATCTAGGCAATCATTACAAACAGTCCTAGAAAGCATATGTGGGTGGTCTAGATATGATGATCTATAGGACCTCTGTGTCATCAGATTGGTCTATGGGCAATAGATATGAGTCAACAGAAGCCAAGTATGTGAAGTTTGATGAAAGTATCCAGTAAAACTTGGTGGTAAAATCAGATATGGCATTGTGGACATTTGATTTAATGACAAGCATGTTGGCAATGATGGTCAGTGATGGGTAATCATTTAGGTTCATCTGATGTGGTCAGTTGAAATTTTTCATAGTCACTCATTGGTACCTTAATATTGTCTCGGGATTTAGCAAAAACATGATTCAGATGATACATAATCAAGATTAATATTCATTCTTATGTTATTTCTAGATAAGTGGGGTGTTTTACATTAAATTCACAAAAATAAAATATTATGTAATCCATTAACTACACCGAAAGTCTATCTGATTTTTAATTGATAATCGTTTATAGCCCGTTACTAGTCATTTTACACATTACTGGTCAGCCTGATCTACATATAATCCTTGTATTGACAACGTTGTGATATATAACCCTGATGTTAACCCCCAGATAATTAAACTATTTTACCAACATCTTTTCATTCTCTACATATTTAGATTTCATTCTCAATCTTAAATATATGAATCTACAACTTCAGGGACGAAGGCAGCCATAGATAAGTTGTTTTTTCCACTGATTTTTTTGGCTCAGGACATTTGAGTCCTGGACTCATGATTTTCCTTTGGGATTTCCTCAAATTTTAGGACCTACTTTATCTCTTAGTAGTGGGACTCCTCATGGAAGTCTTGGAATTGGTGCTCTGGTCTCGCCTGAAACAATCCTTGAAAATTTTTTAATCTTCTACCAGAATTCAGCATTCATTTTCGACAGTGCAACAGCATCGTTGTAACATCAGACCAATACCTTTAAGGTATTTGAAAGTTAAAAGCAGGATATAGGTGTAGAAAGATAAAAACAAAAACTTTTCTCAAATAAATGTTGGAACTTCTTTGAAGTGTACATATTGAAAATTAACATTCAGAATTCAAGTTATTGAATCCTTTGAATTACAAGGATGGTTTATAAATAATACATCATATACAGAGGCTAGATAAAAAATCTTTCTGCTTAATTCCATGAGAAGTATTTTCTTCTTATGTATAAAATGTTCATTCTTGTTTTTATTTTTCCCTTTCTTCTGTATTTTTGATCATTGATAAATTTTAGATATTTAAACTGTGAGCTCTGTGTAATGGTCCCTATTACAATTACAATACTGAGCTCATTCTTGGGGACATGTGTAATGGTCCCTGTCACTATTATAAAACTCATTCTTGGGGACATGTGTAATGGTCCCTGTTAGCTACAATCCTGAGCTCATTCTTGGGGACATGTGTAATGGTCCCTGTTAGTTACAATCCTGAGCTCATTCTTGGGGACATGTGTAATGGTCCCTGTTAGCTACAATCCTGAGCTCATTCTTGGGGACATGTGTAATGGTCCCTGTTAGCTACAATCCTGAGCTCATTCTTGGGGACATGTGTAATGGTCCCTGTTAGCTACAATCCTGAGCTCATTCTTGGGGACATGTGTAATGGTCCCTGTTAGCTACAATCCTGAGCTCATTCTTGGGGACATGTGTAATGGTCCCTGTTACAATTACAACCCTGAGCTCATTCTGAGGGATATATAATCAATGCTTGTTTCAATAACACATTGTTTTGTTTCTCTGTTCCGTTCTTTTTATATAATCTACAGAAACAAACAAAAACTCTCTCTTAAGTTTAGATGGACACACCTCAATGACCAATGTTAAGTGTAAAAATTACTGCATATGAGTATTCAAGCATGAAGACGCAGAACTTCCGGGTGCACCTTTTCCAGATTAACAGTGCATTTCAATATTTTCCCTCCAAAGGGGAATAACTCTTAGAAGTTGGCATTGAGAAAGTTAACAATTTTATGTACATATACTGGGTACTTCGATAAGATAGACAAAATCAAAGCACCTAATGTTATATTGTATTTTGAAACCTGAGTTCAAAATGTATGGAGAAATAAAGATGAAAAGCCACATGTCCAAATTGATAAACTTCATTTTTCATTGTACAATCAGTGCTAGAACATGTATAGTTTTCTGTTAGCAAACTCCGTGCACAGCTGAAACCCGAGTTAGGTAGACTGAGAACATACCTGACTGGTCTCACACAACTTACTTATCAGTTCCCATATTACCATCATGTAGAGAGATGGTAAAAATATTGTTTCCATGGCAATGTTTGATGTGGGCTGTGCTCATTTTCAGAGCTGCAATTGTAAATAATGGTATGATAGAATACATAGAGGTAGGTGGGTGAGTGAAAGTTGGTATCTCCCACACATTTCCAGTGTCTTTGTTTACTATAGACAACTGGTGTTCCCAGTTTCAATGGGGTAATCAACATAATGTTATGAGCCCCTGCCAAGTTGTTAGAAAGTGCAGCTGGAATAATTTGGCTGAGGTTTGATGCTTGGGATACAAGTTGAAGAGGTGGCTGGTTTCATCATTGGTAATTCTGTAGAACATATGACCCAGGGGTTCTACCAAACTTCTACTACACATGCTGTGCTGATCTTGATTTTCGAAATGTGTGGATTTAAACTCTTGGCTCAGTATGACTTGGTTGTAGAAGAGATGGATTGAACAGTGTTTGGATTTGCTTAGACATCTTTAGAATGGCAACCACTGACTCAAACTTTGATCAAAGTTTCTTCTTACTTCTGACGTGATTTTACAAATACTGATCTGTCTGGCAGGATTTGTCACAACAAAGTTGCATTGTGAATTATGAACTGGAAATTGGAGATGATTGAAAGGACAAGATTATATATAGTTACTAAATAGCAGAATATAGGTCAAACAAACATGGACTTTGAAACTGTTTTACAGTAATAAGTAGGTCAAACAAACATGGACTGGTAAAGTTATAGTAGAAAGTAGGTCAAACAAACATGGACTGGTAAAGTAATGATAGAAATTAGGTCAAACAAACATGGATGTGAAACAGAATTTCTGTGGACTGAGAAGTATGGCAGTATTTCACAGCTGAGTCAATAGGACAATTGTGTAATAATCCAGAATGTTTTGCTCCAGTTACCTGAGGAATGTAACCGTTTAAGATGTGTACACAGTAATATGGACCATGAGCCACAGTCACATATCATCCTTAGTTTGCCTAGTATATATACATGTATTATATATGTACTGTTCTTTACCGAAGTTCATGAATCTGTATATCATCATCACAGAGGTGTTGTAGAACTTGCAAAATCTTACTTCCACATTGTAAATAGGATTATTAATATGTTTCATTTTAAGGATATTTATACAGTGTGTAAACAGCAATGGATATATTTAATTACTTGAGTAATTATACAGTGCCATTAGAGGTAATTAACGTATCACGTCACAAGGTAGGATCAGACAGCACCTAAAAAGTCTGTTTTGTGATTTCGTGTTCAAAAATGTATGGATACATACAGGAGAAACCAGTGATACAAACCAATGGATTTATCACTTTATAACAGGATGTCTGGGTTTGACTTATGAATGGTAAAGCCATCAAGTCATGTTTGGTCTGGGGAGATCTGTGGAAACATGTTGACGTCACTTTACACATCAGCGGTGTCTGTGTTAAAACAAGCTATCTATGAAATCCTCAGTCAAACAAGTCCCTACCTTTATACTATTTGTAGATTGGTGTGTGGGACACTGTATCCAGCCTACGCCTCTTACAAGGCCATCCGCACAAAAAATGTTAAGGAATATGTGAGTATTTACCTCATCATTACTCAAAAGAGTGTTTCACAGTGATAGATTGTAATACTGTTAGATAAAAAAATTGTCAAGACTTATTACTCAAAATAGTGTGCTACGGTAATAGATTGTAAGATGGTCAGATAAAAATTGTCGAGACATATTACACAAAATAGAGTGTCATAGTAATAGACCGTAATACTGTAAGTAAAAGAATTGTTAACTTATTCAAAATACCCGGTAATGTGTCACAGTAATAGACTTTAATACAGTCAGATAAAGAAAATATTGCCAAGAAGTAAGTTCCTGATATAAACAAAGATTTTCAGAGCTGATGATGAACATACGAGATATTTATGTCTGCTGACGAAATGGATCAGTTATTAGAAAAATAAGTACCATTTCCAAATTTCTTGTTTTTCAGGTAAAATGGATGATGTACTGGATTGTATTTGCCATTTTCTTGTCAGTGGAGACATTTTCCGATGTGCTTCTATCATGGTATGTATTCAAAGATCTTGTATTTGACGCCTTGATTTTTTTTGTGTTTTCACTGAAATTTTAACAAACGGTCTTGGGCTGACTTAATTTTGGATTTATTTAAGTATCAATAGTGTCATCAGCATTATTTCACTTGAAGCATGCAATACCTCTCATGTACCTGTTGATTTCTATCAAATTTGTCTGATTAACATATAAAGAAACCGGTTACCATCCGTTCTGGATCACCAATGTTTTCTTTCATGAATTTTAAGACAATGGGGTCAGATAGGTCTTAGAAGAAGGGCTTATCACATGCATAGGTTTGATGTGTACTTTGTGTTATTCTGTTTTTTATCTAATTACATTTTTTTCAGGCTTCCATTTTATTACGAGATAAAGATGGTATTTGTGATTTGGATGTTGTCTCCTATTACCAAAGGGTCCAGTTATCTTTACAAGAAGTTTGTACATCCACATTTGGTAAAGAGAGAAAAGGTAAGAATTTCCGTACACTCATTGAGGTTACATGTCTCACAGCTACACTCAGATTGGTAGATGACATTAATTTGGTTACCAAAGTTATTTCTGTACACTCATGGAATTTAAATGTCTCACAGCTACACACAGTATGGTAGATGACATTATTAGGTTTCCAAAGTCATTTCAGTGGGGTTATGTGTCCCAACTCATCACAGACATGACATGAAGCAAGCATTTCTGACAAACTTAAATTTTTGCCGGTCTTCCTCCTCCTGTTTTAAGACTTAAGAACAACATGGTTTTGTTTTTCAGGAAATAGATGAATACATATCCCAGGCAACAAAGCAGGGCTACTCTACTTTAATGAACCTGGGTCAAAGAGGCCTTACCTATGCCACTAATGTGGTGGTGAAAACAGCTATAAAGGTAGGTATAGTGGAACTATACAGGTAATGTACAGGTAGATGGTCAAGTCAAGACCAAAACATTTATACAGGTAGAATGGTCATGAAATGTCAAGACCAAAACATTTATACAGTCTGATGGTCATGAAATGTTAAGGCTAAAACATTTATACAGGTAGATGGTCATGAATTTTGTGTTGTGTTGTATAAACAGTGTAGTACATATTACATGTTCATTTCTTTCAATCTCGGGGGTAAAAATGTAAACAATTTTCTTTTTTAAACTAACTACCAAAGAACAGAAAAAAAGGAAAATATTGAAGCCAACTTGGATTATGAATTCTGGTTAATTACTTTAATATGGTGCACAAACCAGGTACTAAACTTAGATGATGAACTACAGTAATGAAGCTTGAATTAGTAGGAAACAATTGACCTATTTTTGTGGTGATAACAATGATTTACCATTCCTTTTTTTCGTTTTTCTAAAGGGGCAGTCTACCCTTGTAGAACATGTACGTAAGAGTTATAGCACCAACGATCTAAGAGTTCCCGACGACTCTCAGAACGCTGCTGGAAATCTGATGGATAGTGACGAGGAATTCGGTGAGTGAAGCCTTAAAGTTTGTATGGCTCTCACTCAAGCATTCATAATGACAGAGAAAATACATTTATACATAATAGAGGGCCATTACAGAATGATATAAACATTGGCAGTGGGATATACAACATTTGTAGTAACAGTGTTTTCAGTTTTAGACAGTAGAATTGCTTTGAAGCATGTATATATGACAACACAGTGTGTCTTAAGATTTTGATTGAATATCATTTGACTTACTGATCATTCCTCAGCTTTTGACAGATTTAATCTTGGTTTGAAAGATAATAGGCTGTCTCACTGGCATATCATTCTATCATATGATTGCTTTGTTGTTTAGTAAATATACTCATGTGATATTTTTACATCTTACATACGTAATATAGCTTATTGTGACGTCATCTTAGATAATGGGAAAACACGCAGCTGTGTGGCGTAACAATGATGAACATAGATATTGAGCAGACATGACTTTGTTTGACATATAAATGTCAGTTTCTGCCATATTTGCCATTTTATTGCTCATTTACTTAAAAGGAAATTAAATTTGTTTCCATTTCATATGTGATTTATGAAACTAATCACAAATCTCTCATTTGAGCTTGTCTAAAAAATAAAAAACAAATTTACCTATCAGCCTGAAACTTATGTAATACAGGACCTGGTGTATATTATCATATGTTTGTTTGGACTAATTTACTTGCAAGTTGCATTTGAAAGTACAACATTAATCTCACATATATGTTATTAGTAGTTTAGATCATATCTAACATTCCAATTTTTTTTTTTTTTGTTTGATTTAGATATACAAGATGAGAACATTAACGGTAATAGTTTAACACTGCGGCCATACCTCAGTTGGTTTACTCATCTCGCATGCTACCTCACAGCCCTAATTCTGTACTAAAACTGCTTTCTTTAAAAATAGGTTATTACATACATTTTATGTGAATTTGTTTATTTTGATCTTTTAATAATGAATAAGAACCCTTATTAACATTGTTTAAAATCCCATCACCATAATAGTATACGTTTATCTGTAACAAGTTTCACTGCTGCTAACATTATACAGAACTACTAGTAGGAAAAAAGAGGAAGTAAATAGGCTGATAGGATACATATACAGTGTTCAATTTCTGATAGAGGTAATCACCAATCACAAACATCTATCAGATATTTACCGTAGGTTCTGAAATGTTAAAAAAATGCTCATCACTACCATTTATCATTTAATCCGATGTTTGCCTGAAGTGCTGTGTCACTTCCTTCTGTACCAATAAACAAGTATTGAAGTTGAGAGTCATTGTTTCAGGTCATAGCCATCTGATATATTAACAATATTTACAATCTTGTAAATTCAGAAAAAAATTGATTAGCAAATCTATCAAAATTTGCATGTATACTGAAGACATGTTTTATAATAACATAGAAGAGCTTTTGTCAGAGGTCAGTAAAAAGTACTGGTAGAGATTTATCAAGATCCAGTATACTTTTGGTTCATTATTTCATTTTTGCAGTGCCCTTGTCAACATGTTTTTATCAGATTTTAATAATAAAGGCCCTTTTCTGTGTATCCTAAACCCTTTCTATCCCCTGGAATCATACAACTTGGTCCTACAACAATGCATGATGACTCCCATCCTGGTTAATGGCTCATTCCGTTTTGATACCCGGGTTTGTAGAAACTGGTTCTTAATTCTTAAAAATGAGATAGGGATTGAATAATTAAACAAAGAATGATTATCTCTAGGAATATAGTTTAGTGGTTATGTTGACCTAACACAATTTCTGTTTTTAGAACTTGGAAGTTGAGTGTATTCCACTCTATTGTATTACAAGTGAATCATAGAAACAAGAAATCTGTTTCACTTACAAAGTTTTATTGAAAACATATCCAAACTTCTACCATCTTCCCTTTCATCTTTTGCCTTATAATTCATTACACCTGTTGGCGTTATGGTTATAGAGGAACGACTTTCTCAAGATAACAGAGAGATAGAGAGGAGGAAAGAGAAGAGAAAATTACACAGAAGTACGAGTGATGTCACAGATAGCCGGTCTGTTAGACCACAGAAAGCTTCAGGTACTAAGTCCTCTAAACTATCAATGATTCTGAATGATATCTCTCCCTGTAAATTTTGACAGGTTTAAATGTATCACTCCCTGTAAACTTTGATAAGTTTAAATTTATCACTCCCTGTAAACTGTGCCAGGTTTGCATGTATCATTACCTGTATACTATGACAGGTTTACATGTATCACTTCCTGTAAACTTTGATCGGTTTAGATGTATCACTCCCTGTAAATCTTGACAGGTTTACATGTATCACTTCCTGTAAATTTTGACAGGTTTAGATGTATCACTCCCTGTAAACTTTGATAGGTTTAAATGTATCACTCCCTGTAAACTTTGATAGGTTTACATGTATCACTCCCTGTATACTATGACAGATTTACAGGTATCACTCCCTGTAAATCTTGACAGGTTTACATGTATCACTCCCTGTAAACTTTGATCGGTTTAAATGTGTCACTCACTGTAAACTTTGATAGGTGTAAATGTATCACTCACTGTAAACTTTGATAGGTTTACATGTATCACTCCCTGTGAACTTTGATAGGTTTACATGTATCACTCCCTATAAACTTTGATCGGTTTAAATGTATCACTCCCTGTAAATCTTGACAGGTTTACATATATCACTCCCTGTAAATCTTGACAGGTTTAAATGTATCACTCCCTGTAAACTTTGATAGGTTTACATGTATCACTCCCTGTAAACTTTGATAGGTTTACATGTATCACTCCCTGTAAACTTTGATAGGTTTAAATGTATTACTCCCTGTAAATCTTGACAGGTTTACATGTATCACTCCCTGTAAACTTTGATCAGTTTGAATGTATCACTCCCTGTAAATCTTGACAGGTTTACATGTATCACTTCCTGTAAATCTTGACAGGTTTAAATGTATCACTCCCTGTAAACTTTGTAAACTGTGCCAGGTTTGCATGTATCATTACCTGTATTTGACAGATTTAATGTATCACTCCCTGTAAACAGGTTTACATGTATCACTCCCTGTAAAATTTGATAGGTTTAAATGTATCACTCACTGTAAACTTTGATAGGTTTAAATGTATCACTCTGTAAACTTTGATAGGTTTACATGTAAACTTTGATAGGTTTACATGTATCACTCCCTGTAAATCTTGATAGGTTTAAATGTATTACTCACTGTAAACTTTGATAGGTTTACATGTATCACTCCCTGTAAACTTTGATAGGTTTACATGTATCACTCCCTGTAAACTTTGATAGGTTTACATGTATCACTCCCTGTAAACTTTGATAGGTTTAAATGTATCACTCACTGTAAACTGTGCCAGGTTTGCATGTATCATTACCTGTATACTATGACAGATTTACATGTATCACTCCCTGTAAATCTTGACAGGTTTACATGTATCACTCCCTGTAAACTTTGATCGGTTTAAATGTATCACTCACTGTAAACTTTGATAGGTTTACATGTATAACTTTGATAGGTTTACATGTATCACTCCCTATAAACTTTGACCGTTTAAATGTATCACTCCCTGTAAACTTTGATAGGTTTACATGTATCACTCCCTGTAAACTTTGATAGGTTTACATGTATCACTCCCTGTAAACTTTGATAGGTTTACATGTATCACTCCCTGTAAATCTTGACAGGTTTACATGTATCACTCCCTGTAAACTATTTGATAGATGTCTTAAACATTCTTTGTCATCAGGTCTTTCGAAGTTAGAGGAAGAGGAGGAAGAAGAACAGATCTCATATACAGAAGAAGTCTATTATACAGAAAGCTACTATAGTCCAAAGGATGTAAGTGTTATTCAGTGTCAAGGCCAAAAACACACTTACCTCATCTCTCCTATACACACACACAGTACAGGAGTTTTTGTACTAACTGCTTTGTGTGTCTGTCCATTGTAAAAAGTTCTGTGAGAGTAATCTCGTCAACTTTTCAACTTAATTGTTTCAGTTGAATTATCTTGACCAAGTATAAAGGTCTCTAGTCGTGATACTATAATATAAAGTAATGATAATTTTAGAGTTATTGTTTTACACTAACATAGTAATAACTCAATACAAAGAAAATGTGATCCAATATTCAGCTAATTGTTGGCAGTCTTTCAGGGATGAATTCCTAATGGAACTCATAGTCCAGTTCCTAAACCGTTATCAAAGTTAACGGTATGACCAGACAATCAACATCTGTCACAAGTTGTTAATTATAGATCCTGCTGAACTTTCTGACAGATGTTGTCTGGTCATATCTACCATTAACATTCTCAAGTTAGGTAAAGATAAATTTTAGATTTTTCTTGTGTGAATGATATACAGAAATGAGATTGAAAAATATAGGAGATAAGATGAGAACCACACATGGAATAAAGACAGATATAGCAGTAGTGTAATAGAATCACACCTAATCACAATTCACTTGACATTACTTCATTTTCTTTGTTTAATACATTATGGATACTTTACAGTGATAATGAAAATGGAACACTTTTTTATGGGCAACATAAGTTGAACATTACAAAGTGTGGTTTGGACTAGCCGTCTTTCTGCTTTTTGTGTGTGACACGTGTTCTATGTTTGGTAAGCTTGTTTAGATAAAGGAATACTAGACATGCTTAGTTTGGGCTTTATTGTTATTGTTTCAGCACAAGAATGATCCATATGGAACGCTACCTCGCACTCGAGCTAGAACAAGAGCAAAGCTTCATCAGTGATTACAACGCTTCCAGAAAACACTGTACTGAAACTATCAGGGACAACTGTCCCTACAGAACAGTAACCCGAAATAGCTGTAAACAGCAACAATAATAACATATTATTTATATCTCTGTCGATGATGTTTCATCAATAGCTTTAACTACATTACATTTGATATGAGTGTATGAATATAATGCAATTTCTCACATAAAAATTATATTGAAATTCAAACCACAAATAAAAGAATGGCATTTTTATCCTCATACATAAAGAAACAGATAGAAGAACTTTTTGCCGTCTGCCTGAAACTTTATATATATATTTTAAGGGTACATTATGTGAAGACCAAGCAAAATATAATGATGGCTGCAGTAAAACATAGCAACATTGTGATATGATGTGATATAGAATGAATTAAAAAAAAAAGAAGTACATGTAAACATGGCCCTGATACAAACATTTTTCTGATGTCAATACCAAGTACTGAAAATGATGTCATATATAGGGATTGTGCTTCTGTCATGCCTATGGTTAGACCACTCCACAGCATATCACCCGTCAGCCATTCATACCTATGTACTGCTCAATGTTATAGAGGAATTCCAAGCAAAGCCTCAGGATCATAGACTTCAGTCCAAACTCCAAAAAATTGAAAATTTAAATGTTTTTAATGCTCAAGTCCAGAGTCACAATCTACATGAAAGTTAAATCACTTTCTTATGGAAAAAGAACACAAAATTTTAACATGTTTAGATTCAGACTGAAGTCTTAATGTATTAATGCTCAAAAGCTAATACACTGGTAACAGGATTTGTGTATAAAGGCCTTGCATTAAGGTTGCCAAGGTGATGGAGCATATTTTGTACTGGACCAGGATGACTGTTGTGTTGTTGACGTGGTAATATAATTACTGTTGATGGAAGTTTTTGTGAGGTTCTGTTTTTGTGGTATTTTTCGTAACTGTCAATTTTGCATGAAAACTAACCTTAACAAAAATGAATTGTTATTTCGTACTGCTCCAGATCTAAGCTTTTTTTTCACTGATTATATGTTAAAATTCAGCTTGACTGAATGTTTGTGATCTAAGACACTTTTACATTTACAGTTTGTAAAAGCATAATATCATGTAAACACATTACCAAAAAGATTGTATATATCATCATTTTCTAACACAAATATCTAAATATCTCACAATTTCTTTAAAGATGTGATTTTTAAGAGAGCAAGTGATGTTTATGAAGTGTTTTTGCAGGGTGCTCCTAAACAAAGTGGAAGAAAGAAACATCAAAATTTCCTTAAGACACAGGAAGCAAAAACCTGAATGACCAATTACAACACTAATGTTAACCTGGATTTATGATGGGATATATCTACCACTGTATACTGATCATCTTATAAATTGAATATTACACCTGAGGAGCTGTCATTTCTCAAATATACCTGTAATTGCTGATCAGACTGATGGTTTGTTGGTATAGAGCAGTTCTCAGTTTTGTTTTATGCATTCCTATAAGGGTATGAATGTGACAAAATATGGTGTGGATACCGTAAACAAATTTATGGTGACTGTAATCAGTTTTCTATACTTCATGTGGTTGTAGTAGACTAAAAGAAAAGGAAATTGTATCAATTTTGATTTCGCTATAAACAGGTATCTTTTCTGTATTAATATGATACAGGTAAGGACTTATTAAAATTGATTTGTTTACATTTTAAACCAGAAGAACATGACAATATAGAGGACTCAGTGTAATTTTAATATTGTAGGTAAAAGGTTCTTATTTACACGAGAGAAACATTTTAATAGTTATACTTTCCACATGTAATGCAAGACAATAGGATGTAATTATCTCCCTTTGTTCCTCAAAAAGTTTGGTAGATGATAGATAGTATGTGGAAGTCCTTTGTGAATATGAGAGTTTATGTATTTTCTATGTGTATGAATGTTTCAAATTTGGTTCATAGGAGTTAATAATGGTTGATCTCTCTTTTTTTTCTTTTCCTTTTTCTTCATTTTTTGGTTTTTAAATTTGACAATATATTACCTGACAAAACATGTTACCTAAACATTTTTTCTATACTACTTTTTTTAAAACTATTTTGCTGGTTCATCATAGTATGTTGATAATTTCTTCAATATTTTCACAAATTTAGTATCAAATACACTACAGATGACATAGATTTAATGTTTTGAGGATGGAAAACCCATTGAAACCTTTTTTCCCGTTTTCACTTGCCTAATATGTTATAAGATGACTTCAAATGTAGCAAACAATGCAGTATTTATAAAAATATATATATAATGAGATTTTTACCTACTTTGCTGATCATTTTTGTACAGTATAGTGTATAGAATGATATTGAAATGAGTTTGTTAATCATCTGTTGATTTTCCTCTGTAAATGATTTCATTCTTCTAATAACATATCTCTATGGAATCTATTTTCTGCATATAGATATTTGTAAATCTGATTTGGTTGTTAACATTTTATATTTTGCCTTATATGCTTACTAATGAGCTGGATATTTTTAAAAAAAAACCAAATTGTTTGTGATGCATAAGTATAATTTTAATCCTCCTCATTTATTCTGGCACCTTGTACAGTCTAGAAATAAGTTGGTGATCTATAAGTGAGAGTGTAGGTAGGTGCTATTGTTGTAAGGTACATTTTAAATTATTATTTCTGTATTGTTGTGGGTCCATTAACGATGTGATCACATGAGTCTTCTTCCCAACACAGGATATTAAATACCATAAATGTGTGTTTTTTCAACATAAACAGTCTCATTAGCATCCTAGTCATTGAAATTATCTTTATTAAATATAATACCAAAATTGAAAGTTAATACTGTATTTTTAAATGTAAAAGATACTAAACTTTATACACATGCCATAGAAGTTTAATTCTGTAGGTTTAGTTTAAACCAGTGATGAAAAAAGAAGGCATCATATTTTCCAAGTTAAATTACTAAACATGTACATGTATATGATACCATCATTAGTATTTAATTGGACTAAGTAAGTACCAACAATTCATGACCATACTGACCATGTTTAGTCCTCACTTCTTTTTTTTTTGCTATGTGTTTTTGATTATTTGCTCAATATAATCTTGTATTTTATTTTGCACATTTGTTTTTTGACAATAATCTTTATATAAACAAACACCTTCTATAATCACTTAAACACATGGGAAGGGAGCATTTTTCTGGTATTCTCTCTATGATAGGCTTATTCTGTTATATTATACATAGATTAAGGAAATAATTCAGGAAATGTACGTATTACATAATTTAAAGAGGAGGCTTCCATTACATTTAGCATGCATTTTTTTAATGTTCTTTTTTGTTTTTGTGTTTTTGTTTTTTTTTTCCTTTTTGATTTCAATGATTTTCCCCATATGACACGTGTTTAAGGTTTTAGTTTCCCTATCACAAAACACATTCCAGCAGCTTGAACGACTCTATATCTGTCCTTATACAATCATGCATTGTTCTCACCACATTTGCTTCTATAACTGACTGAATCTCAGGACATGTTTATCACTCTTAATTTTGTTGACATTCACTGTTAGAAATGGAAATTTAAATTTAGTGTGCTGTGTACAGATGTGATCATTGAAATTAGCAATTTCTAATGTTTTCCTTAATGAATTGTTGTTCTTATTTTGAATACCTATCTTGTACGTTATACTTTAAAACCTTAAACATCATCATAATGTCTTTATTTCAAATAACATAATTTTGCTATAAACTTTTTAAAAAATCTCTAAAACTGGTACATCAGGAGAGATACTTTTTGGTTTAGTTTATGTTGACTAAAAGTCACTTGTGTTCGGAAGTGTGAGATAATCAAAAGATTTTATTTAATGATGTTGGAAACAAGACCTTCATTTCGCTGAGACTGTCTCTATTATCTCCACATGATTGAGGCTGTTCTGAAAAAACAAGTTAAGGGATACATTTTATCTTCTGTCCTTTGTTTTCTCTGAAAGTAATTTTATAGTGACTCTGGCGTGGATATACAAGTATTATGAAAGTCAGCATGAACTAGTCTAGAGAAGTGAACGCTAAATGTATGTTGTAATATATAGCATTAACAAAGCTCCAATACAGCCATATTCTCAACAGTGTTTTTCTTTTTCTTCGTAGTATGTTTTCAAAAGAGAAAACGATGTTATAAAAGATAAATATTGTTGGTGAAGCATGTGTTGCCTATATATACTGAGATTGTTTATTTTTTGTAAGGGATGTTGCATAATGAAGTAAAAGTGTGGTCTTTCATTGCCATTGTTATTTGCCAATGCTGTGTCTTCCATCTTGTGTATGAAGTTAAGGCCGTTGTGCTAGTATAGGGTAGTTTTGTACAGGTCTGGCAATAAGGTGTAAACTTAAATCTTTGTCAAAGGAGTTGCTTCCCTTCAAATATATTCAAGAAAAATTGTGAAAAAAAAACACTTTTTTCTGATTTTATGAGTAATGATAGCAAATATAGTGATGACCTTTGACATTTTAAAACATTGTTACTGACTTTGATCAGGATTATTATTAATTGTTCAAGTTTTATAAGATTTAATTGAAATACTATAAGTATACTTATCAAAGTTGTACTGATTTGCTTTAGTATGTATGCACAGGGAAACATCTGTCTTATTCCGTTAAATAGGGAGATGTAACATTATCCCGTTTCTGGTACATGGTTGTAAATCTTACTGTGCTGACATAAATATGCTTATTGTATCTTGTTCATATTGGATAAGTAGTTACCCAGTGTTTATATACCTGTAATACATGAAATGGAAGCACTGTTGTATTAGAATCAGTTGTTTTCATTTCACTGTAAATTGTTGTAAGCTTACAGAGGACCAGAGTATAGTGATATGGGGATCAGTGTAAACATAACTTTGGTGTATTTTGGATCCTCACAGGGTAGTTTCTGGTATAGCATATCAGAAACCAGCATATCACAAGTCTAGAGATGGGAATGGAAAGAAAAATGTGAACTGAAGTCACAATTTTTTTGAACAGGTTGTGTGTTTTGGTTTTTAATATTCAACTCTTGATCATTTAGCTTTAAAGGTAGAAGATCATTAGAACAAAGACATATCAGCATTTCTTATAAAAACATTTCTTCGTGTCAACTTCTGATACAGAAAAACCATAGCATTCCCCTCCCCCAACTCAAAATCATTGTCTTTGCAAAATTTGAAGCCTGTCAAGTTGCAATAATTTTTGTTGGTTTCCACCCCCCTTTAAATCAACTTCTTTTGTATCACATTTAACAATTTTTCTATATTCCTTGCTGTGATAAAACCTTTTCACACAGAAGATAACCCCATGGACTAGTGTTGTGACCTGCAGTTGACCCTTGACCTTTGTGATATGTACATATTGAAGGACTTGTATGATCAAGTGCCTGTTTTTATAATGCAATGTTTCAGAAGTCTAGTTATAAGTGTCAGGAGATCTCAAGAGACCTGGGAGCACCCCCAGTTTAAATACTGCATGCAGATATTTCTGATGAAGCCAGGATTGTATCATGTACCCACATCAAGAACAGTGAACATCTAGCTTAATTACTTACCAATATACTTAATCATAATGCATCAAGCTTATTACTCTCATCTCCTAAGAAAAAGAATAAAAATATTAAAGAAATAACTATTACATGTCTACATTGGATTGATGTGTTAAATTTGCCTGGCACATTCATTTTTTATTATTTCTTGGTATTGGGTTGAACAGGAGTGACACACTAAGCATACATTGTAATCAGCACCATGCTTTTAAGCTATATAACTCTGTTGAATATAATTGTACGGGTGCTTGAGGGATTCATTTTCTATAAATATTAGTGAAATAAATGCAACAATCTTGTTTTAAAACTGTCTTGTTCTTGTTTTCTTTTAGCTGACATTTACAGATGATAGATTATTAAAATCACCCTGCATCTGGAGACACTCATCTGTTAGTCATTAGTCCTTAAACATTTATTATTATGGTTATTTCTTGAGAAGTACTGGATGCATCTTATTAAAATTGGGACTGACTGAAGGCAATCTCAGATTTTGATTTTGATGGATTGTTTACAGCATTTTTTGAGAGTTACTAAATCAATCTTCCTTAAATTGGGTTCCTCTTTGTCCTTATCATTGCCTTTTCCATTCTGAGACCGAGTAGATGTACAAGATGGCTAAAAGGTGGCCATCTTGGATTTTTATTGTGGTTACCCATTGGTCACTAGTTATGCTCAAAATGACTGGCAAGTGACAGTATCAGGTTTCAACAATAAATGTTTATTATCGCCATTTCTAAACAAATACTGGATCAATCTTTCTCAAATTCTCTCAAATTCATAGTGGTTCCAAGTTGTTCCCTTTTCATTTTTTATCGATCAGGAAAAAAACTAAATGGCTGCTGGACAGCCATCTTGGAATCTGATTACCTAAGATTATTATGGCTAGTTTTGAAGAATGAATCATTAAAAAAATATTACATTGAGCTCTCCTACACTCCCATATTGTGCCTATTTATATTGAGACTGATCAGAAAAGCAAAAGAACCAACAGGTGGCCATGTATAATTCCAACCATTGAAAACTGTTAATGCTATTTCTTGAGAAGAAGTCTTAAGGATCTTGGTCCTCCGCGTTTTGTATCATGGGACTGATGGAAAACCGGCTGATAGGTGACGTTCTTGGATTTTTGACAGGTACCTTCAAGATGCATCATTCAAAAAATTGTTGATAGGTTCTACTTGTTCCCTAGACTAGTTGTGCAAAGCCCATAATAGAACTGAAAAAAACACTAAATGATAGACAGGGGACCATATTCAATTTCACAGTTTAAGATTACCGCACGGGTATAGCTTTTTCTTGATTTGACAATTCTCAAATGTCATTTAATAAAGAGCAAATAAGTGGAAAGGGGGAAATGTTTGGCGATTGCTATACCTACTTATTGATGGGTGCAGGTCAATCTGAAAAGAATGCTTACTCAAGACTGAAGAATAGTGTTGTTGGTTTTGTTTCGTCATGGACGACCAATCATGGCATTTGATACAAATGTTAAAATCAGATAACAGTATGTGGAAGCATGACACTCTCACCAGACCCTAGGTGTAACTGTATAGACATTGACAATTCTTACGATGTCCAAGGTAGAAGTGTTTTTTATGTATAATGAATGATCAGTGTTTGAAATAGAGCTTTGTTTCTGGATTCTGTTTCTATGGCCAATGTTTGACTATAAAACAAAACAAATAGTTTTGGTAACCTTTACGGTGATGCCAGAAAGTAATGGGTAGACCAATCAGAGTGATGGTACTTAAAACCTCTAAGTGACGTTTCATTGAAATCAGATATGGATCCAGTTGTACCTCTGTAATTGCTGAATGGAAATTGGCAGTTTGTACCTTGATTATTTAGAGTGTGAAATCAAACATGAGAATTTTCGAAGCCGTCTTTATATTGAATCCTGTTATTGTGTGACGTAATTCAGATGAGCAAGTGAGCAAAGTCACGATTTTAACCATGATCATAGAATGTAATGATTGAGGTATGTTGGCTCAAAACATTGAAGCCATTTAAGTGCCATTTCATACATGTGACTTAGATGTCAGAATCACAGTTGCTCTCATTAAACCTTGACCTTAACCTTGAAGCTGGACCTTGATTGATCAATCAACTACATATGTAACTCCGATTTTTTTCATGTTGCTGACAACTAGGAACTGGAAAAGCTATTTTCGTACCAGTGACATCGGCTTTGACGTAGAAAGTTAACGCACACTATTATAAGCCAGAAGTACCCGAACTGCTGTAGGGAGTTTCATTGGGATTGGAAAAGAATCTCTTTCACCAGGAACTTTATTGACTGTGACCTTAACCTTAAAGCAAAGAATGCTGGTATTCAAACCTGATCATGCTGTCTTAGAAGTGAACGTGTTATGTGATGGTGAAACATAGACTATTTCAGTAACTGTGACCTCGATCTTAGAGCGACGACAGTGACATCGAATCTTGATGGCCGATATGAGAACGCGTTCATGCTTGGTTTTGAACAATCATATAACATAAAAGAAGTGTGTAAGAATTACAGTCATTTGAGCGATAAATAAATGTGAACATTCGGACACCGCAGGGTATATTTAATACCTGTTAACCCAGAGTGACAGAACACACTACAGGTCGATGAATAGTCATGTCATCACTGAACAAGGGCAATAAATGTGGATTAGTTCGACGGACATTTGGATCAACTGTCCTTGATATGGTTCGTATGTGGGGCTCCTTCCGATCATGTCAAAAATATTGGTCACTCCTCTTACTTAGAATAAAATATAATTTGTGATTGTTACACTAAAATCAATTTGCCTACAAAGTAAATGGCACGTTATCTGACGTCTTTTTCATCACTTATCCTGAAGTCTGGTGGTGCTACGGAGGCCGCCCAAGTACACCGGGAAATGGTTTTGGGTGAAGATTTGGGTATGGAAAGGGTCATTTCACTGGGAGATGTGCCACCAATCATTATCACAATTTATCAAACTCTCCTGAACTGTGGAAAAGGGTTGCTTATAGTCATTTTATGAATATTTCTCACATTGTTAATAACCTGTGAAGAAAAACATGGTGCTTCAAATTTCCTTCAATTACTGAGAGTAAAATTAGTTCCCCGGAAAAAAAGTGAAGAGCAATATAACCCGCCGCTGCAACTAATTGTAGCATGGAACATCCTCAAGGAGTAAAATACACAATACTACCCGCGAGTACTTCGGTAAGTGCCCTACAAGATAGCGCCAGGCACCTGCCACAATATCCGAGTTTAGATGAATTTAGTTGGAGTCGTCGAGAAATACGAATCAACACAAAGCCTTAGTTTCAGACTTCTGTATTCAGAATCGTCAACATACATGTAGTGTAATCGTAACAGTTCACGTAGACAGCACACACCATCACTCTCAATGATATTGGGTAAAATCCCGCTACAATCCAAAATAGCAAGACCTACTCACTCGAGCTCCCTGAACTAAAATCTCGCACTCATTTTATTACCAAACCCCGTAGGACTGACAGATATTCATATAACCTTTTACATAATCTTGTCGTATCCTGTAGAAGAAGTCGGACAAATTGACGTAATTACGTGTATAAAAATACATGTGAACATTTAGAAAAACAATTAGCGATGAGATAAACCGTGAATGATATAAGATAGAAGCGGCACCCTATCTATAAGTATGGTATATAAAACAAATCTCTTTAAATGATAGACAAAAAAAAAATACTTCAGACTAATAATTTTTAAAAGTAATCCAATTGTATCTGAAAATCAACGTATGCTGGCATGATTTTGAACAATGATTTGAATAGTAAAGAGTATTAAAAGTGAGTTCCAGCCTTTCAAGGCCTTGTCAGGTCCCAACGTGTCTTTCTTCCTACTTGACCGCGAGTCTGATGGATTACGAATCTACCTGGGCCTACCTAAAGGTTTTGTTTTGATGAAAACTGAAATGAGAGGAAAAATCAGTAAAAGCCGTAATGTAAGAGACAAATTCGGTTTCATCACGTGATCGTTATCGATGTGATAAGTGTCAGTAAAACGAAAGTACAATACTATATAAAAGAATCGGCGAGCATCGATTGTTTTTGTGCCAATTGAAAGTATGTTACTATTTTCAAACTCAAAACTTTTTGTATTTTCTAAAATTTAACATAGAGATTCGTGAAATCCTCTCTCATCGCAGGGATTCTGTTAAGAGCGTTTTCTTGACGCTGACTTTGATTGTCATCACGTGACAACCTGACAACAAGCTAGCATGGCACTGGTATGGCTGCAGCAAACTTGGAATGCTAACCGTGTAGTAATTTCGGTGGCAACCAGTGTAGCCACAGCGGCTATCGCTTACAGCATATACAAAGTTATCTTCAACGTAAAGGAGGAAGAGGCAGACGAATATTTTGAGACAATTGTCCTTGTAAGTATATGTAACATGAACGTGTCTCGACTAGTTTACAGAGGGAGACAGGTCGACGGCATCATCTCAGTTGTGAGGATGCACAAGAACTTCAACGCCTCCCGTTTAACTAGTTGTGTTAAACGTGCCGTATCACGAACAGGTTGGGAACATCATCGTATTTGAGAGGATGCTTTGGAACTGTTCTTAACTTGACAAATAATCATATCACGCCGTTTTCGGTTATACCAAGCATACATTTTGCGGCATACATGTCCGGTAGGCTAATTATAAGTTATGATTTCACAGCTAGTGCAAACAACAGTTCAGTTATAAAGCTCAGCTTTGTCTTGATACTTTTCTTTCATGTACCAAGTCTCAACACCACAACGTCTGGGATTTGGTGGTCATGGTACCAAATCTGTGATAGGAAAGACTAATTTAAAATATTCAGACCACAGTGGTGCTCAAACTGGTAACCTCTCACAAAACCAGCTGGGGATGTATGTTGTCCTGTGTTCTCTCAGCTATGTTTACATAAATTCATCAAATGAGTACTTTATACTTTCAGTCAAAAGATCCTCCAAATAAAAAGATTCTAGTGATTGGATTAAATGGGGCAGGAAAGACCAGCTTTGTGAGGTGTTTTGGGAAAGGCAACAAAGATGGGAAAGCCTATGATGAGCCTCGACCTACAGTGGGATTTAATGTTAAAAGTGTCAACATGGGATCAGCTCTGTTTGATTTCTGGGACGGTAAGTAAAGATTCACAGTAGAAGGCTTTTAATGTGTAATATGTATGCAATTAAAGTTGTTTACAAGATGGAGTAATATAATGTACATGATGCATATAATGTTCAAAATCTCTATCAGTACCAGTAAAATGCCTAGTAGTACTAAAGTTTTCATGCCTCATCTTCCTTTTTTTTATTTCAAGTCATGGTAAAAACTCCAAGGTGAACTGTTCATTTCAGAGTGATTTGTGCCTTTTTACCACTTGTGTTCTTTTTCCAGTTGGAGGATCGGAGGTATGCCGTGAATACTGGAAACAATTTCTCCAGAGTGTTAACTACATTGTTTGGGTAGTAGATGCTTCAGACCATGAGAGAATTGGTGAATCCAGAGAAGCCCTTATCAAATTTCTACAAAATGATCGGGAGATACGCCCACTTCTCATAGTGGCAAATAAACAGGTAAATTTAGAGAGCACAGCAATCCTACAGACATATTTTATTAGGGATTATATGTTGACCCCCTGTGTAGCTTCTTTTCTTTTCAGAATATTATATTCTAATGATTTTACAGACAAAAAGAACGGGGCTACAGCCTATGAATGTCCTCTCCTTGCTATTATAAACATTTATTGAGTCAATGATGTGTTAGTCCCTTATATGACTTCGAGTCAATGACGCACTGTCCTCTATATGACTTTGAGTCGAGGATGTGTTTTCCTCTGTATGACTTTGAGTCAAGGATTTGTTGGTCCCCAGTATATCTTTGAGTCAAGGATTTGTTGGTCCTCTGTATGACTTTGAGTCAAGGATTTGTTGGTCCCTGGCATGACTTTGAGTTAAGGATATGTTGGCCTCCTGTATAGCTTTTAGTCAGAGGTTATGTATTAACCCCTGGGGTATATGAATGATAAATACAATATTGTGCTGGATGGAACTCCAATAAACAGTAAGAATGGTCTGTGTATAATGTTATGGGATCAGATAATCATTATTTGATCCTGAATGTTATTAAGTTTTGTTGAAATTACATATAAATGTTGAAGATGATTTGTTCATGTTTAAAAAATACATTTATTATCTCACTGGAATAAATTCGAGTGTCACAAATCTGCTGTGTAAATCATACTTTTCATCTCTGATGTTGTGATTTGTAATGTGATTGAGCATTGTATCCAATTCAATCTCTATATATTGTCAGTCATACAAGTATTGGGTGTAATATATTATACTGTTAAACCCTTTCTTTGAGTTGGTGACTGAATGGATTATCATATATCAGTTATAGTGAAATGAGTTCACTGCAATCTGGTTCTAAACTGAAATGAGAGGCCCATAGATTCTCATCTATGACCGTTTTTTAAAAGTGAATTGTTTTAATGAAAGCAAAGTCAATTTGACTTTCATTGGACAGTACATTGTTACTAAGCTCAACCAGTTTTCACCATTCTTACGGCCATCTTGTACATGATTTTCCACCTGAAGTGTACTTAGGATCATCAGTATGGTTACATCTGAAGATGACAAGATAGTCATTGAAATGTCACAGATTTTGTAACATGTTGTGATATATCTATTCAGTTAGTTATAGGTACATTATTAAAATGTTTTTGTCAGAACTAACAAACATCTGATGTTCCACAAAATGTACTAGATTTGTATACTAGATTTAAACATGTCATTCATGTTTTTTCTACTTTCTAAAATTGATATTCTTGATCTGATTTCAGGATTGTAAAGGTGCTATGAAATTATCAGAAATAAAAAAACATCTTGAGGTGGATACGTCAACTGTGATAAACAAGTCAACTAGAGACATTGAAATGGTTGGAACACAGACCCCACATGGTGGCAAAAGGAAGGGCATCTGGGCTGCATACAAAAGCATTCTGGAAATGTCTTGAATTATTGAGATTATTGGATTCATACTAGTGTGGATGGCAGAATATGTTACTCATCAACTCCTTGATAGAGGTAAAAAATGGGTAGTTGCAAAAACTGTATATGCTTTCTTGAATATATTTTTTTTGGCAATAGTCATGCTGACTGCAGACTGCAAGTTAGAAAAGATGAATTTGAGAGGGAAAGTAAAATAAAACTTGCAAAAAAAAAAATTTGAAAATCACAAAATTCGAAATGAAAATATCATAATGGAAAGAAATCTAGGAAGAAGAATTATGGAGAAGACTTCCATAGATATCCAGGTTTTACCTGATCATGTTGAATTGTTTGAATGTTGCTGCAATAAAATTTGTTGAGATAGAATTAAGGTAAATTCCTTTAACTGTGATTAAAATTTATTTTATTTAGAAAGTTTTATACAGCAGTTTACATGTATGTATATAAAATTTGGAAACTGAATGCAATATAATTCTCAGAAGATACTGAATATGTTGGAAGGCACAGTCTGTATCACCTAGTTTGGTAGAGAAATTTGATTGGATATTTATTAATGTATTTATCAGTTAAGTGCTCTTCAGTACCAGATAATGTATTTCAGCAGACTTATTGTGTGAGTCTTTGCTCTTCAAGTCTGGAAACTATGATGAGATACATAGATACATTATGTAACTTCGTGGCCCCTGCCATTATAAGTGGGAAGGTGATGTACTGTCAAACCTGTCTTAAAGGTCACCTTCATTTAAATGTAACTTGTCTATAAAAGCCAATTTTTTGGTTTCTTATGTAATGCAATTCATAGTAATTGAACTCATTATAACGGTCACCTGTGTATAAAGGCCACTTTTCTGAGCTCTCTTGAGTAGCCTTTATAGACAGGTGTGACTGTAAATAGTATTTTATTTGTCTTTCTTGTCCACAATCTATGTCATTGCGCCAGTAATATCAATCTTCTTTGATGAAAGTTGAGGCAAAAGTGGACGAGTTTTCACTAGATAACAAAACGCAAGCTGTATTTAAATCCTGTAGACTTTTAAAGGTTATTGACCTTGAGGAAACATAATACATATCTGTATGAGTGTTTAAGATTGATAATTTTTTAGAAAACTGTCAAAGTTTCAATTAGCTGCTCTCTTGCAACAGGGTGCCAAGTCTTCCTCCTTTTAATAGTATGAATGCATAATTGTCAGTAATTCAGTACTACTGTAATATCTATTAGACCTCTTTCCTCTATAACACTTCATTTATTGGTATTTCTATAGCAGTTTTATTGCCCAAGAACGACACTTTTTGTGACTCAGAAAAAAAATCCTATCATTGTTTCAGAAATAGCATGAGTAAATGTGAGACTTGTTTACTATCTGTTGTTTACTGTTTGATAGTGTTTATATGATGGTATTTGTTTTGATAGCCCTTGTTAAGTAATCTCGATTCCAGATAACATGAGGGCTGGAATCACACTATCTTGTACACAAAGTAATAAAGTGATACACAAATAAATTAAATCACAGTTGTTATCTCTAATACATGGATATTAATTTGTTAATCATTATTTATGATTGTTATTTTAATTTATTCCTCTTAAATGTAGAATGGATTTGAAGAAAAACAGCCATGTAATGAATCTAACCTAAATTAATGCCAGGTGTTATCATTATAGTTGTATAAACCTTCATCTTTTATCTTGAAGTGTCTCAATAATATTGTAATTATTACAGGGAAAACTTGCCGGAAATCATGATGATACATGTATTGTGTTTTACTGGTTTTACATTTGGAATGAATTAGAATATCAATTATCACATGACAAATCATATATACATTATTTATTACCTTTATTATCGGTATCAAATATTGGATGTGTGACATATTTGTGGAGTGTTAGAGGAACAGATGAGTTGTGACTAGGTACATCCACTGATTAAAGCATTTCTAAGTCCATGGTTTATGTGATGGTTTTATATCTACTTTTTTGACAGATCTCTTATACATTCCTTACATTATATGTTGAAAGAGTGTATAAAACATTTCTTAATTAACGTTACACAAGTTTCAAACTCTAATTATGATTATGATTATGAAGTTCTCTCTGACTTTAATGCATGCTTCTAAAATCAGCATAAAAATATGTGTGTTTTAACTGTGTTGTTATCATTTGTCATGTTAAGTTGTTAAATACTTAAAGTATTCTGGACTGCCAGGAGATATATAATAATCATGTTAAAATTTCATCTATATTAACTCCTTATGTAGTTGGTCTATTTTAAAGTTAATTTGGATTGTCTCCCTTTACATGACTTTATATTCATTTCATGAAGTAAATTACATTTATTTTCTTTTGATCTGAGAGATGTATACGTTGTCATTGTACATGTAAAATTTTGTGATATTGATTTATACATTTGAACATGTTACACTCTAAATAAATTTATCAAAATCAACTACTTGTCTATAATTCTTAGTTGATAAAATGTTTGGAATTGAGTTTTTTTCTAGTAAATGTGAAACAAAGATGGAACAAAACAATAAACAAACAAGACAAGACATGACAAAGGTCAGCTTCACAAGCTGTATTGGTTACAAACATGAATAGATATGAATACACAAGATCCCCTTTTTGTTTATATGAGGTTGGCAGCTGAAATGAACAATGCTTGGCAAATACCTTGTATGAATTGAAAACAAATTTAAGTTACTTTTTATCTCAGATCAGAGCAAAAACAATTAGATATTGTCCTTTTTTGATATTACGCAAGTTTTAACAAAATATGTGTGATATAGATGATGGATGAAATAACAATAGTATGGACAAGTTCATTGTTGTATCCAGCCATTTATCAAGACACAAAATATAACACAAAATATATTGTATACATAGAACATGGAACAAGACAAAGCTAGTGAAGAACAACAGAGCAATATGAATTAACCATTTGGCTTGATAGATGCAGTACACCCTTTAAAAACAGCATAAAGACAACATATAGTGATGTTTTACAGATGACCATAGCCAAATGTTCTGATTAAAAGTTGTATGAATACTGGGAAAAGATCAATAGTAACTGGTGATTATTGGTTATAAAGTGTTTAATATTCTACTGGCAAAATATGGAGTCAATTCATAGGTATCAAATGTGACCTACAGTGATGTGTCTATCTCATTCAAATGTCTCCTCTGTGACATACAATGACGTATGTGTCTATCTCATTCAAACGTCTCCTGTATAACCTACAGTGACGTACGTGTCTATCTCATTCAAACGTCTCCTCTGTGACCCACAGTGATGTATGTGTCTATCTCATTCAAACGTCTCCTCTGTGACCCACAGTGATGTATGTGTCTTTCTCATTCAAACGTTTCCTCTGTGACCCACAGTGATGTATGTGTCTTTCTCATTCAAACGTTTCCTCTGTGACCCACAGTGATGTATGTGTCTTTCTCATTCAAACATCTCCTCTGTGACCCACAGTGATGTATGTGTCTATCTCATTCAAACGTCTCCTCTGTGACATACAATGACGTATGTGTCTATCTCATTCAAACGTCTCCTGTATGACCCACAGTGATGTACGTGTCTATCTCATTCAACCGTCTCCTCTGTGACCCACAGTGATGTACGTGTCTATCTCATTCAAACGTTTCCTCTGTGACCCACAGTGATGTATGTGTCTATCTCATTCAAACGTCTCCTGTATGACCCACAGTGATGTGTCTATCTCATTCAAACGTCTCCTCTATGACCCACAGTGACGTACGTGTCTATCTCATTCAAACGTCTCCTCTGTGACCCACAGTGATGTATGTGTCTTTCTCATTCAAACGTTTCCTCTGTGACCCACAGTGATGTATGTGTCTTTCTCATTCAAACATCTCCTCTGTGACCCACAGTGATGTATGTGTCTATCTCATTCAAACGTCTCCTCTGTGACATACAGTGACGTATGTGTCTATCTCATTCAAACGTCTCCTGTATGACCCACAGTGATGTACGTGTCTATCTCATTCAAACGTCTCCTCTGTGACCCACAGTGATGTATGTGTCTTTCTCATTCAAACGTTTCCTCTGTGACCCACAGTGATGTACGTGTCTATCTCATTCAAACGTCTCCTGTATGACCCACAGTGATGTGTCTATCTCATTCAAACGTCTCCTCTATGACCCACAGTGACGTACGTGTCTATCTCATTCAAATGTCTCCTCTGTGACATACAATGACGTATGTGTCTATCTCATTCAAACGTCTCCTGTATGACCCACAGTGACGTACGTGTCTATCTCATTCAAACTTCTCCTCTGTGACTCACAGTGATGTATGTGTCTATCTCATTCAAGCATCTCCTGTGACCCACAGTGACGTATGTGTCTATCTCATTCAAACGTCTCTTGTATGACACACAGTGATGTATGTGTCTATCTCATTCAAAAAGTCTCCTGTATAACCCACAGCGACGTACGTGTCTATCTCATTCAAACGTCTCCTGTATGACCCACAGTGACGTACGTGTCTATCTCATTCAAACGTTCTCATTCAAACGTATGACACACAGTGACGTATGTGTCTATCTCATTCAAACGTCTCTGTGTCTATCTCATTCAAACGTCTCTTGTACGACCCACAGTGACGTATGTGTCTATCTCATTCAAACGTCTCTTGTATGACCCACAGTGACGTATGTGTCTATCTCATTCAAACGTCTCCTGTATGTGACCCACTGTGTTGTATGTGACATACAATGACGTATGTGTGACGTATGTGTCTTTCTCATTCAAACGTCTCCTGTATGACCCACAGTGACGTATGTGTCTATCTCATTCCAACGTCTCCTCTGTGACATACAATGACGTATGTGTCTATCTCATTCAAACGTCTCCTCTGTGACCCACAGTGACGTATGTGTCTATCTCATTCAAACGTCTCCTGTATGACCCACAGCGACGTACGTGTCTATCTCATTCAAACGTCTCCTCTGTGACCTACTGTGTTGTATGTGTCTATCTCATTCAAACGTCTCCTGTATGACCCACAGCGACGTACGTGTCTATCTCATTCAAACGTTTCCTCTGACCCACAGTGATGTATGTGTCTATCTCATTCAAACGTCTCCTCTGTCACATACAATGACGTATGTGTCTATCTCATTCAAGCGTCTCCTGTATGGCCCACTGTGTTGTATGCATCTATCTCATTCAAACGTCTCCGGTATGACCCACAGTGACGTACGTGTCTATCTCATTCAAACGTCTCCTCTGTGACCCACAGTGATGTATGTGTCTATCTCATTCAAACGTCTCCTGTATGACCCACAGCGACGTACGTGTCTATCTCATTCAAACGTCTCCTGTATGACCCACAGTGACGTTTGTGTCTATCTCATTCAAACGTCTCCTATATGACCTACAGTGACGTATGTGTCTATCTCATTCAAACGTCTCCTTTGTGACTTACCGTGACGTATGTGTCTATCTCATTCAAACATTTCCTCTGCAACCTACAGTGACGTATGTGTCTATCTCATTCAAACGTCTCCTGTATGACCCACAGTGATGTATATGTCTATCTCATTCAAACGTCTCCTCTGTGACCCACAGTGATGTACGTGTCTATCTCATTCAAACGTCTCCTCTGTGACATACAATGACGTATGTGTCTATCTCATTCAAACGTCTCCTGTATAACCCACAGTGACGTATGTGTCTATCTCATTCAAACGTCTCCTTTGTGACCCACAGTGATGTACGTGTCTATCTCATTCAAACGTCTCCTGTATGACCCACAGTGACGTATGTGTTTATCTCATTCAAACGTCTCCTCTGTGACATACAATGACGTATGTGTCTATCTCATTCAAGCGTCTCCTGTATGGCCCACTGTGTTGTATGCTTCTATCTCATTCAAACGTCTCCTCTGTGACCAACAGTGACATACGTGTCTATCTCATTCAAACGTCTCCTCTGTGACCCACAGTGATGTGTCTATCTCATTCAAACGTCTCCTCTATGACCCACAGTGATGTATATGTCTTTCTCATTCAAACGTCTCCTTTGTGACCCACAGTGATGTACGTGTCTATCTCATTCAAACGTCTCCTCTGTGACCCACAGTGATGTACGTGTCTATCTCATTCAAACGTCACTGTGTTGTATGTGTCTATCTCATTCAAACGTCTCCTGTATGACCCACAGTGACGTACGTGTCTATCTCATTCAAATGTGTCTATCTCATTCAAACGTCTCCTGTATAACCCACAGTGACGTATGTGTCTATCTCATTCAAACGTCTCCTTTGTGACCCACAGTGACGTATGTGTCTATCTCATTCAAACGTCTCCTGTATAACCCACAGTGACGTATGTGTCTATCTCATTCAAACGTCTCCTTTGTGACCCACAGTGATGTATGTGTCTATCTCATTCAAACGTCTCCTGTATGACCCACAGTGATGTACGTGTCTATCTCATTCAAACGTCTCCTCTGTGACATACAATGACGTATGTGTCTATCTCATTCAAACGTCTCCTTTGTGACCCACAGTGATGTATGTGTCTATCTCATTCAAACGTTTCCTCTGTGACATACAATGACGTATGTGTCTATCTCATTCAAACGTCTCCTGTATAACCCACAGTGACGTATGTGTCTATCTCATTCAAACGTCTCCTTTGTGACCCACAGTGACGTATGTGTCTATCTCATTCCAACGTCTCCTCTGTGACATACAATGACGTATGTGTCTATCTCATTCAAGCGTCTCCTGTATGGCCCACTGTGTTGTATGCTTCTATCTCATTCAAACGTCTCCTGTATGGCCCACTGTGTTGTATGCTTCTATCTCATTCAAACGTCTCCTCTGTGACCTACAGTGACGTATGTGTCTTTCTCATTCAAACGTCTCCTCTGTGTCCTTTGCAGCACAGCAGTTTTTTTGTTAGACATTTAGAATTCATTCGTTGTCTGACTTTCCAAAATCAAATTGGAGACATCAGTTTAGCTTTCACATGAAACCATTGCTTGTATTTAAAAATTTGTATTTAAAACAAGAATGTAAATATGCCACGTAAATGAAAGATACAGCTGAGGACATCGATGCTGCAATTTCTGCAGTGCTAAATGGTTACCTTAGACTTCGAAAAGCTCCAAAGAAGTATGGAGTTCCCAACACTACCATCATTTACCTTGTCTCTGGACGGATTGAGTCAGGACAAGGCCGGGAAGGAAACCTTATTTGCCTCCGAAAGTTAAGGGAACTTTTGATTCCATAATAATAATAAGGGTTTCGGAATATCCGAATCGGAGATGATTATGAAAACGGGTCGCTTATGTCAATCAGCCCGAATTCCATTGAAGAACAATGTGCCGGGAGATGACTGGTGGAGGGGTTTAAAAAGAGGCAAACCTGAAAAACTACCAATCTCTAGAATAAGGACGATAAACAAGCCGGTAATTGACAATTTCTTCGCCGATATGAAGAAAGTGGTGACCGAGTTAAATCTGACACAGAAACCTAATCTTATTTGGAAGCCGATGAAACAGTTTGAGGATTGCCCTGGTAACGTTTGCTCTAAGAAGGGTACCAGGACATTACGGAGTTCTACAATTACAAGGAAATCTTACAATTTTTGCGTGTATTAATGCCTAGAAATAGCTATACCTCCACTTTGTATCGCAAAAGGAAAGTCAAGAAAATATTTGCAATCGTACACTTTGGAAATACTAAAACAATGCTTGTGTGTGCGACATTCTCGGAGAAGAGTGGTTTAGTAATATTTTTCTAAAGCAGTGTGGTCCAGAACGTCCTCAGTTATTAATTATGGATTCCCATAGTTCACTTGTAGTCCTTTCACTCTTAGAAAGGGCTAAACATGAAAAACATTCACATTGTGGCGTTACCTCCTCACTACACCGATTACTACAACCGCTAGATAGGACAATATTTGATCCGTTCAACAAATCCTACATCCGACTTTGTATCGAGTTCTTGGCAGCAAATCCAAACCACGTTGTAAATAATGCATCGTGGTCTCGCCTTTTCAATGGTGCTTCGGTGGCAGCAATGACGAGTGCAGGCATAACTTAAGATTTTAACGTATGTGGATTATATCCAGTGGATCGTTTGCAAATTCCAGTATCAGCCTTCCTGCCATCGTCAGTGTATGGCACATCCTTATTGCCGATCAAAGTCAGAACACAGTTGAATGCTCTCCCGACAATTCGCTGAATTCGTGTACTCTAGGAAATATGCCGACCTCCCCTCGAGACCAGACATTCCATACAAAGCTTGTCTTAACCGGTCTGTCCGAAGTGGTAGTACCATATGTTTGGGACGCAATCTATTCCTGTTCCACCAGAGATATTAATATCTAATCCTGACGATGGAGCAGTTATTCCCGTCGAACATATACAACTTTCTTACAGGCGTTAGCAACTGGCACAGCAGCTATACACGAAGAAACTGGAAAATCTTAGTCTCACAGAACCATTATTGTGAAGAAAGTATTATGATTTTACTGATCAGTGACGATAGAATTAAAGAAAAATAGAAAGCAAAAGAGATGGAAGTAGTAGAGCTTAAGCAACAGAAGCATGCCCAGGAAGAAAACACAGAAAAAAAATGAGGAAATCAGCAAGAAACATCGACTTAAGAAAGAAAATGTACTAGACAAGACTTGATTCATTTGTCTGCACGAGTATACAACTGGCTGGAATGAACCGGAATGGACAAAGTGCAATTTGCGCACAAAATGGATGCATTTGAAATGCATTCCTATCTCACACGCGGTAATTGCGCCGTTTAAATGTCATCTGTGTGACTAAAGACACAGATGTCGTTGGTCCTAGGGATTATTTTAGAAATGATTTAGTGCACACGAATTAAACATGCCTTTAGTCATGATACATCCATTGTCCATGAATATACATATTTTCCTGTCTAAAGAAAGTTGTAATTATAATTCCACAATTTTATTTCATGTTGTGATATTAATTGGGTTTTTAATAGATTTTGTGGTATGATTAACACAAACGTTCAAGCTCATGCAACCTGGTTTTTAAAAAAATATATGGTGGTTGAAATTACCCATGTGTTGCCAAATTTACTCCTAAAACCTAGCTGACTTCATCAGTTAAGTTGTGTTTGTATGAGAAGCTATAGGTCTACAGACGGTTATGCTAGAAGAATTGGTTAAGCTAACACGACATACGACATGTCCAAGAACGATAACTGAGATAGAAGCAGCTACATTGGATCCGAAGGTGGTCGAAATATGACCACCGTCCAACTGAGAGGTGTGTACTAAAGAATTAAAAGAAAAAAATCTTATAACTTGTGAGCCACGTTTTTAGCGCCTTTGTTTGTATTTGCAAAATGTCATTTTATAAAATAATCGAAGGGAAATGTAGGGAGGCGAGGCGCGGGAACGAAACGGATTAGCCTTGCTCCGTCGCTGTCGTCTGGTCTCGCTCCCTTGCTGTCGCTATTTCGCTTCCTTGTTCGTCTGGTCTCGCCTTCGCTGTCGTGTTTTCGCTCCCTTGCTGTCGCTATTTCGCTTCCTTGTCGTCTTGTCTCGCCTTCGCTGTCGTTGTTTCGCTCCCTTGCTGTCGCTATTTCGCTTCCTTGTCGTCTGGTCTCGCCTTCGCTGTCGTTGTTTCGCTCCCTTGCTGTCGCTATTTCGCTTCCTTGTCGTCTGGTCTCGCCTTCGCTGTCGTGTTCACGCATCTTCACCGTTGCGTTTTGGATGTCTCGTCGTCATGGGTTTTCTCCCTTGCTGTTGCGATCTCGCTTTCTCCCTGTCGCGTTCTCGCTCCTTGGCGACACGATCTCGTTAACATGACAGGATTGTAGCATTTCTCTAGTTAAGTAAGACAATCCAGGTTTATTAGCGATCTCTTCACTTTTTATAGATGGATGGACGGAATTTGATGCTTGTGTATTGTGGTGTGTGATCCACATAGTGTAAAACAATTCATTATACGCGGAAACGTACCAATTCATTTATAAAAAGTAAACTGTTTAATTAATACAAGTGCATGTATTACAAGCCATAAAGCTTAAATACAAACGTTTCATGTTAATTAAAAAAACAGCTCCCGATCCCCTAGATAGATTTCCACAATTAAATGTGTGTGTGTGTGTGTGTGTGTGGGATGAAGGCGGGGGGGGGGGGGGGGGGGGGGGGGCTTTAATTACCTATGAAATATAGAGCTGTTTCTTGTTTTAATTTCCACTTTAAATACCTTTGCACTACCATGAAATGTGAATGTGACATTGTCATTTATCAATGAACTTTTCGACTGAGCGGATAAAAGAAAATTCCGTAATCAGTCACCATAGCCAAGCTGTTGATGCGCACTGTTCAGTTGTCTCGTGGCAATATCTAGTGCGATATTTCAACAAGGTGTGGAGATGTAAATCATGAAGCTAGGTAGTCAATCACGACAGCGTGACCTAGTTTCACTCAAGTGAGTTATTGATTAAGTAAACAAAGATATTTATCATTCTGATGTAAGAGGTAATTAGCTTTGTCCGGGGTTTCTCCACACCCCTATCTAATCGCCCCGTAACCACACAGTTGTACCGAAACACCTCGTGTCAGCACAAGGACGGCAGTGCCAAGATACATCTACCACTCATCACTTTAAAAAAAAAACCAGATTACCAGATAAATACTGAAGACCGACTTTGTTCATTAAACGTATATTTTCTACTCGCGCGCGACGATTCACAATTCATCTCAGAGAACATATTTAGTACGTGTTTCAACTGATATTCTAAAGTATAGTTGAAAATTGGACTGTGTTAATTAATTGGGACTAGTTACATTTTCCTTTCAGCACTACATCGAACTTAATTTATTTTTTAAGTACAAGAGTTATCGTGTGTGATATACTTACAGCTACATAAAAACATTTTAACACACATTTAAGATTCTGTTTTTCACTTCCTTTTTATTGTTAATTTGCCTCTGTTAATCAGTTAATTGGGGACTGTTAAATATTTCTGCTTAGCTCGGTGTTGAGCTTTATTTAAGCTCTCACTTCTAAACATGGAATGTATATTTAAATCTATGTGTGATCATCCCGACACACAACATAAGGAGAGGTATGTAGTTGATGTTGGTGTTTATGCTCATCTCATAGTCTTCATGGCTGGGGAGCTCTTACTTTCGTTCATTTTTAATGTGTTTTCTGTCGGTATCAATATACTTGGTTATATCAAGACGGGGAGATCCATCTTGACATCTTACACAGACTTATATCAATAATTATATCAAACGGTTTTCCATGATCTCTATTTTCTTCAAATGTTGTCTTTCTCTCTTAGGGTCAGCCAGTCACTCAAAGGACAATAACATCATTTACACAAGGTTTATCTTTATGAGAACAAAAC